TACATTATTCTTGCTTCAGGTTAAAGTGTTTTCACACATTTTCAGGTTAAATGAATTATTGTCGGTGAGTTTAAAGTCTGCAGTCTTCTGGACATTTCATCATTTCATTTTTAAATGTCACAGGTGTTAAAGCAGGTTCTTTGGACCCGGGTTTAAAAGAAGACCACTGGATTAAAAGCGAATTAAAAACAATTTATTATAAAAAAACATTAAAAACAAGTAAAAGAATAAAAAGCAATAAAAGCCTAAGCTAAATAACCACAAACTGAAAAGGCTAAAACAGAGGCTAAAAATACTTCTGGCCACGGGCTGGGCTGCCAGACCACGGGGCTCTCCCCTCGCCGTGTCTGGCGGCTGGCCCACGTCTCATCCAGCTTCCTCCGTCTCCTCCCCATCTCCTTTTGTACACAAGGCACAGGTGTTCTGATTATCATCACGTGGGGAGCCGGGTGCTTCGGGTGGTGCAAGTAAAAACACAATGTTAAAAACACACACAACTTGCATAAAAACATAAAAACCTTAGTAAAACCCACCTCCCATTTGCACCCTCTGACATAAACACTTATTTTTACTGTTGTCTCCTGTTTACAAAGGTTTTATACTCAACAGTAATGGTTCCCAGGCCCTGGTCACAGTACTACAGTACTACCTGGTCACAGTACTACAGTACTACCTGGTCACAGTACTACAGTACTACCTGGTCACAGTACTACAGTACTACAGTACTACCTGGTCACAGTACTAAAGTACTACCTCCATAGTAACAAGAGTCAGTGCGACTTAAGAGAAACTTTTCAAAAGTAAAATTGTGTTTGAAGTTGCACAGCCATGTTAGAGTACATGTATATAAGTACATGTTAGAATATATAAGTACATGTTCGAGTACACATATATAAGTACATGTTAGAATATATAAGTACATGTTAGAGTACACATATATAAGTACATGTTAGAATATATAAGTACATGTTAGAGTACACATATATAAGTACATGTTAGAATATATAAGTACATGTTAGAATATATAAGTACATGTTAGAGTACACATATATAAGTACATGTTAGAATATATAAGTACATGTTAGAATATATAAGTACATGTTAGAATATATAAGTACATGTTAGAGTACACATATATAAGTACATGTTAGAATATACAAGTACATGTTAAGAGTACACATATATAAGTACATGATAGAATATATAAGTACTCCACAACTCTGACAGCCTGGTGGAAAATAAACAAAATCACCAACTCCTCACTATCACTATGTAAAAACACCCCTATTTGGCACAACCCTGACTTCCTACTACACAACTCCCCCATTCACTTCCCACTCTGGCAGCAAAAGGGCATCTCTCACCTTCACCACCTGTTTGAAAACAATACTTTCATGTCATTCACCACAGTTATCCAGAAGTACGGGGTTGGGAGAGAGCAATTTCTTCAATACCTACAACTCAATAATTTAATCAAAAGTAAAACCAGTCTAACACAAAACATGTTACACCCATCTACTCTGACTAAGGCCATTCTAAACATAAACAATACAAAAAGATTAATCTCAAAACTCCACAAAATAATAGTAACAATTCACAATCCACTAACACTGCCTTCTGTCAAATGGGAAAAGGACCTGGACATCTCTCCCAACCCCGACTTCTGGAACCGCATCTGTAGAAACTCCTTTATAACAACATACCATCATTTGCAACTCATACAATATAGAACAATCCATAGAACACACCTCACACAAAGACGTTTTAAAAAAATGGGATTTACAGACACCGACACATGCCCACAATGTACTTCAGGGAGCACAGATACATACCTGCATGTCCACACTGCACTTCAGGGAGCACAGATACATACCTGCATGTCCACACTGCACTTCAGGGAGAACAGATACATACCTGCATGTCCACACTGCACTTCAGGGAGAACAGATACATAGCGACACATGTCCACACTGCACTTCAGGGAGCACAGATACATAGCGACACATGCCCACACTGCACTTCAGGGAGCACAGATACATAGCGACACATGCTCACACTGCACTTCAGGGAGCTCAGATACATACCTGCATGCTCACACTGCACTTCAGGGAGCACAGATACATACCTGCATGTCCACACTGCACTTCAGGGAGCACAGATACATACCTGCATGTCCACACTGCACTTCAGGGAGCACAGATACATAGCGACACATGCCCACACTGCACTTCAGGGAGCACAGATACATAGCGACACATGCTCACACTGCACTTCAGGGAGCTCAGATACATACCTGCATGCTCACACTGCACTTCAGGGAGCACAGATACATACCTGCATGTCCACACTGCACTTCAGGGAGCACAGATACATACCTGCATGTCCACACTGCACTTCAGGGAGCACAGATACATACCTGCATGTCCACACTGCACTTCAGGGAGCACAGATACATACCTGCATGTCCACACTGCACTTCAGGGAGAACAGATACATACCGACACATGCCCACACTGCACTTCAGGGAGCACAGATACATACCTGCATGTCCACACTGCACTTCAGGGAGAACAGATACATACCGACACATGCCCACACTGCACTTCAGGGAGCACAGATACATACCTGCATGTCCACACTGCACTTCAGGGAGAACAGATACATACCTGCATGTCCACACTGCACTTCAGGGAGCTCAGATACATACCTGCATGCTCACACTGCACTTCAGGGAGCTCAGATACATACCTGCATGCTCACACTGCACTTCAGGGAGCTCAGATACATACCTGCATGCTCACACTGCACTTCAGGGAGCACAGATACATACCTGCATGTCCACACTGCACTTCAGGGAGCACAGATACATACCTGCATGTCCACACTGCACTTCAGGGAGCACAGATACATACCTGCATGTCCACACTGCACTTCAGGGAGCACAGACACATACCTGCCACTTGAGACTGTCAACCGGTACACACCTTCTGGATTTCCGTCACGGACAAACTCTCCACCATCTTGGGCTGCAGAATCCCATTAAACCCCACTCTGTGTCTTCTAGGAGACACTACTCAAACAAACCTCATAAGCAAACATCATGACTCCCTACTCATCTCTCTAACCACCGCAAAAAAAAAAATATTCCAAAATTGGAAAAATAAAAAACTATGTAGCATCACTCATTGGACAAACCTACTCATAGACCACATCTTAACAGAAAAAATACATCCCACAGAGGGGGGCATATATCGGCCTTCAATGAAACATGGGCATCATTCATCGCACATTTTCAGATATAATTCTCAACATATCTGAGGCACTGAGCTACTGTCTGGGGCGACAGTAGCTCAGTTGGTAGAGCACTGGCCTTTGAGCCTGAAGGTTGAGGGTTCAAGCCCACCACGGGACCTTCTCCACCGACTCCCACTGATGACTGCTGTCGTTGTGTCCTTGGGCAAGACACTTAACCCTGCATTGCCTGAAACCCCCGCTGAAAAATCAAGGCTGTATTGTCACTGACAGAGCAGCCGTCCTCCTGTGGACTAACCACCTGCAGAGGATCAGTGAGGGGCTGGTGCTAAGTGAATTGGGTGCAGCTCTGACTGCCACCCCCCCGACCCAGAAATGGATTAAGGGGAAGAAGATGGATGGATGGATGGAATTATCAACAAAGCCACTCGCATCACAACAGGACAAGAAAAACAGACACGCCACTCTCCATCACTATCCAAAAATAATAATACTTATACATTTTAATCCTCTATCATGTGTTGCTTATATCTCACACTCCCTTTTTATTTATTTTTTAATTTTTTTATTGATATATATATATTTTTTTCTCTCTCTTTCTTCTCCCTCTCTCCCTTATTTTCTATCTATCCGTTTATCTTCACTGTCATTACCGCCAACACCGGTTATCAACTTATTTCACCACAGCCCCGATCCAAGCCACCGCCACCCTTTGTGTTTTTAATTCACCACACACTAAGAAATAGAAACTTAATAAGGGGAGAATAAATAAACATAAACACACAACGCAAGGGACTCAGGACACATGAGGAGAAGGTGAAGCAGTGCACCTGCTCCAACAATCCAATCATGTCCTTTTTAATGCATCTTAGACACTGACACACACACACACACAATCCATAGACAGCAGATAACAGGCAAAGAAGGTGGAGGCTGGTGTATCTCCTATAACTCATAAAACATACATTTAAATCGTGTTAAATTATGTTGGTGTTGATGATCTTTTTAATTGACTTTATGTTAATCTTTTCTTTTCTTTTTTTTTTGGCACGCACGCTTGCACACACACATACACACACACATCTCCCTCCCTTCCCATATGGTATTGTTTCATGTTCTCTCGATATTTGTTTTTCTTTGTATGTCTCCATGTTTTGTCGCTGCTTCAATGTTTTTTACACGCACACACACACATGCACGCACACACATACACACGCACACACACACACACACCGCCCACTATTTGTTTTTCTTTGTATGTCCCCATGTTTTGTCGCTGCTTCAACATTCTTTTTGCCGTTGTACCAATCATTTTCACTTTTGTATGTCTATGTATCACTTAATAATAAAAAAGAATAAAAAAAGAATATATAAGTACGTGTTAGAGTACACGTATATAAGTACATGTTAGAGTACACGTATATAAGTACATGTTAGAGTACACGTATATAAGTACATATTAGAGTACACGTATATAAGTACATGTTAGAGTACACGTATATAAGTACATATTAGAGTACACATATTTAAGTACATGTTAGAGTACACATGGTGTGACCGCTTGTCTGTTTGGTTAAATTTCTCTGCTCTGGTTCAGAATGAAATTCTAAATGCTGTATTTGTATTTTTTCCAGTGGATTTACACCGTGTGTGCTGTATGTGTGTGTTTGTTTTCTGTTTGTGTGTGTGTTTGCAGATGGCTGGACATGTGGTACCCCCTGCAGGTGGGAGGAGTGAAGCATTTTTCTCCTCTGCTCAAATACAGAAGCTTCAGCGGCTGCCTCCGCAACCTGGGGCTGGATTCACAGGTCACACTCAACATCACACACATTTTAGGTTTATTTAAACAAACATTTAAAGTTTAAAACACTAAAGTTCAAACACCATTGTGTATGTTTGTATGTGTGCGCGCAAACACACGTTTGTGTTTCTGACAGGTGTGTGTGTGTGTGTGTCTGACAGTTGTGTGTGTGTGTGCGTGTACGCGTGTCTGACAGATGTGTGTGAATGTGTGTGCGTGTCTCTGACAGGTGTGTGGGTGTGCTTGTCCGACAGATGTGTGTGTGTGTGTGTACACATGTCTGACAGGTGTGTGTGTGTGTGTGTGTCTCTGACAGGTGTGTGTTTGTGTGTTGCAGGTGTATGATTTGGCGTCTCCAGGGGACAGTGTGGACGCGTCCCCTGGATGCAGACTTACAGACGGAGTGTGTGTGTCCCCTGGAGGTCCCACCTGTGGTCCTCACGCCTCCTGTGTGTCACAGTGGGGGTCCTTCAGCTGTCACTGCCACCCAGGCTTCAGAGGACACCAGTGTGAGACAGGTGAGAGACACCAGTGTGAAACAGGTGAGAGACACTAGTGTGAGACAGGTGAGAGACACCAGTGTGAGACAGGTGAGAGACACCAGTGTGAGACAGGTGAGAGACACCAGTGTGAGACAGGGGAGAGACACCAGTGTGAGACAGGGGAGAGACACCAGTGTGAGACAGGTGAGAGACACCAGTGTGAAACAGGTGAGAGACACCAGGGGAGACAGGTGAGAGACACCAGTGTGAGACAGGTGAGAGACCCCAGAGAGAAACAACAGTGTGAGACAGATGAGAGACACCAGTGTGAGACAGGTGAGAGAAACCAGTGTGAGACAGGTGAGAGACACAAGTGTGAGACAGGTGAGCGACACCAGTGTGAGACAGGTGAGAGACACCAGTGTGAAACAGGTGAGAGACACCAGTGTGAAACAGGTGAGAGACACCAGGGGAGACAGGTGAGAGACACCAGTGTGAGACAGGTGAGAGACACCAGTGTGAAACAGGTGAGAGACACCAGGGGAGACAGGTGAGAGACACCAGTGTGAGACAGGTGAGAGACACCAGAGAGAAACAACAGTGTGAGACAGATGAGAGACACCAGTGTGTGACAGGTGAGAGACACCAGGGGAGACAGATGAGAGACACCAGTGTGAGACAGGTGAGGGACACCAGTGTGAAACAGGTGAGAGACACCAGGGGAGACAGGTGAGAGACACCAGTGTGAGACAGGTGAGAGACACCAGTGTGAAACAGGTGAGAGACACCAGTGTGAGACACCAGTGTGAGACAGGTGAGAGACACCAGGGAGAGAGACACCAGGGAGAGAGACACCAGAGAGAGAGACACCAGTGTGAGACAGGTGAGAGACACCATGGGAGACAGCAGTGTGAGACAGGTGAGAGACACCAGGGAGAGAGACACCAGAGAGAGAGACACCAGTGTGAGACAGGTGAGAGACACCATGGGAGACAGCAGTGTGAGACAGGTGAGAGACACCATGGGAGACACCAGTGTGAGACAGGTGAGAGACACCATGGGAGACACCAGTGTGAGACAGGTGAGAGACACCAGGGAGAGAGACACCGGTGTGAGACAGGAGAGAAACGCCAAGGAGAGAGACACCAGGGAGAGACAGGTGAGAGACACCAGGGAGAAAGACACCAGTGTGAGACAGGTGAGAGACACCAGGGGAGACAGGTGAGAGACACCAGGGAGAGAGACACCATGGAGAGAGATGCCAGTGTGAGACAGGTAAGAGACACCAGTGTGAGACAGGTGAGAGACACCATGGAGAGAGATACCAGTGTGAGACAGGTGAGAGACACCAGGGTGAGAGACACCAGTGTGAGACAGGTGAGAGACACCAGGGAGAAAGACACCAGTGTGAGACAGGTGAGAGACACCATGGAGAGAGATACCAGTGTGAGACAGGTGAGCGACTCCAGTGTGAGACAGGTGAGAGACACCAGTGTGAGACAGGTGAGAGACACCAGGGAGAGACACCAGTGTGAGACAGGTGAGAGACATCAGAGAGAAACAACAGTGTGAGACACCAGTGTGAGAAACAACAGTGTGAGACACCAGTGTGAGAGACACCAGGGAGAGAGACACCAATGTGAGACAAGTGAGAGACACCAGTGTGAGACAGGTGAGAGCCACTAATATCCATATTTTTTCGAATCAGAACAAGAAATCACAAACTAGGAATTTGCTTTGGTTCATGGTTCAGTTGTAAGAGTAAGAGCTAAAGGCAAAATATAGGATCTGTGCCGTCACATGGTACAGCCCTGTTTGGCCCGTCCTAGCCTCTATGGTCCTGACCCCCATGGTCCTGACCCCCATGGCCCTGACCCCCCTGGTGCCTGTGACCCCTATGGTCCTGACCCCCATGGTCCCTGTGTTGCAGAGGCCCCAGAGTTCTCCCTGGACGGGGATAGTGTGGTGCGTCTTCAGCCCAGAGCAGGAGCTGATCCCAGGAAAACATCTGTCCAACTGCTGCTGAGGACGAGGGAGAAGGAGGGAGTCGTCCTGAGGGTGGAGGAGGCGGAGACCGGACTGTACCTGTGTGTGGAGGTGAGGGTCAGAGCTGTACCTGAGGGTGGAGGAGGCGGAGACCGGACTGTACCTGTGTGTGGAGGTGAGGGTCAGAGCTGTACCTGAGGGTGGAGGAGGCGGAGACCGGACTGTACCTGTGTTTCGAGGTGAGGTTGACCAGACTGTAGTCACACCCATCTCCACCGTTGAAACTAATGTGCCACCATTTTCGGCGTCCGGGGCTGGACAATGTGAAAAAACTCATTTGCGTACGCCTCAGCCGGCACGAGCCCCATTCATTTAACGAGTGCCTTCCACAGCATTCATTCCACAGCAACTAAACTAGACTGGTCGAAAAATATATACACTCCCCTCAACATTGACACACATCTGGTAAGTAGCGTTGGGCCAAGAGCCGACTTTGGACCATCCTGTAAAGACGTTTTTGGGAGGTAAGGAGATGCTACACAATAGCATTGGCTAATTCTTATTCCGGGTCCACCCCCATTGGTAGCATGTCATTTTGGACATTGTTGAGCCAGGACCCGCCCCCACTGATGTCTCCTTGGCGCCTCTTCCCTCAGCTCAGAGGAGGCCTCCTGTCAGTGCGCTCAGACCTGGGAGGTGGAGCAGAGAGTCTGCTGCTGCCTGGTCTTAGAGTGGACCTGGGGGAGTGGATCCAGGTCAACCTGCTCCGCTACGACACCCACCTCACTCTGAGCCTGGAGAGAGGAGGAGGCAGCAGGGAGGTGCAGAGGCGGCTGCCAGATGGAGGCCATGGAGGAGGTCATGGAGGAGTGGAGATGAACCAGGTCACTGTGACAGTGGGACGACCAGACAACAGCAGTGCAGGCTTTCAGGGTAAGAGCTGGGACCATGTGTTTTTTTCGGTGTTTTAGAGCTGGGACCATGTGTGTATGCAGGTGTCTCAAGCTGTGTTCACACCGGACTCAACTTCGACTTCAGAAGCATCAGGTTTGAATTCAAAATGAATGTTGGCGCGCGTCAACTTGACAAAGGCCAGGCATCACTCGGTGCGCGTCAAAAGTGTTGCTTTGGAGCGTTGACACGATCCTTGCGCGCGCCACAGGATGTACGTAACGCTTGCGTCTTTTTTCAGCGTCAAAAATCCCTTGCCGCTAAAGTTGAGAAAAGCTGAGCTTTTCCAGCTTTACGCACAGGCGTCAACCAATCAGGAGATGAGGAGCAGCAGGTCTGTCATGTAAAGAAGTCATGTAGCTGCTGCTGCTGCTGTTTTTTTCTCATTATTGTAATTGTTACGGCCGGCTCAGGGCCATAGCAAATAGGGAGGCGAAACGGGGGTAAAAAGTGCAAAAAGTATATTTAATAATAACATAAGACGAGTATAACATAACAAAAACAAGGTATGAGGTGTGAGCATGTTGTAATCAGTAGTGTGGTGCAGGTGTGTGAGTGCAATGAAAGCCAGTGTGTGGTGTGCAGTGAACGTGGTGCATAAAACAAAAGACAAATTCAAATGTGCACAAAAGGGATGAGCATGGTGGGTCAAGGCAGAGCCCACCAAGGCAGGACCGACCACGACAGCAGCACGGGAGGAGAGTGAGCAGCTCTCAGCTCACAGCTGAATAGGTCCACTGATGAAGGGGCGTGGCAAGGTGCAGGTGTGGACCTGCACAGAGGAGGAGACGGCAGAGAAGGCAGGCAAACAGACAGCACCCTCTCCTGGACACTAAGGGCCTGGCCCGTAACATTATTTGTAATATTATTTGTAGTAGTAACATTCTTAATAAGTAAGTAACACAATCAAGGTACACATGCTGTGAAGTAAAAGTAATTTATTTATTATAAGAACATGCTGACGCTGAGTCTGACTCAGACACAGAGCAGACTGCTGGACAGCAGACTGATAGACAGGCGCTCTCCCGCGGGAATTGAGTGCCTGTCCAGGTGGGCGATACGAGCTCCAGGCAGGTGAGCAGGTCGTCAAACTGGTGCGAGTGACTTGCAGAAGTACCGCTGAAAGCAAAACTAGTAAGCAGGTCCTGGAGTAAATGATGAAACTCAGCAAACACTGCAGCCTCAAGTCTGTGGAGAACCCAGAACATGTGTAGAAGCTACGACGACGTTCTATGGTTTTATTTAACAACTGAAGGCTGCTCTCTGGAAATCCACCGTTGTCTCAAACCGGCAACAGAGAAGCTCCTCCCAACGGGCGTCAGGCGCTTCAAGCGCGTTGACACCAAAATGACAGGCGTCAATTTCATAATAAATCAGCGTCAAACTACGGGCGTCTCGGACGTTTTGAAGCTTTTGGTGTGAACACAGCTTTAGATCTGGAACCATGTGTATATGTAGGTGTCTTAGAGCTGGGACCATGTGTATATGTAGGTGTCTTAGAGCTGGGACCATGTGTATATGTAGGTGTCTTAGAGCTGGGACCATGTGTATATGTAGGTGTCTTAGAGCTGGGACCATGTGTATATGTAGGTGTCTTAGAGCTGGGACCATGTGAATATGTAGGTGTCTTAGAGCTGGGACCATGTGTATATGTAGGTGTCTTAGAGCTGGGACCATGTGTATATGTAGGTGTCTTAGAGCTGGGACCATGTGTATATGTAGGTGTCTTAGAGCTGGGACCATGTGTATATGTAGGTGTCTTAGAGCTGGAACCAGATGTGTATGTAGGTGTCTTAGAGCTGGGACCATGTGAATATGTAGGTGTCTTAGAGCTGGGACCATGTGAATATGTAGGTGTCTTAGAGCTGGGACCATGTGTATATGTAGGTGTCTTAGAGCTGGGACCATGTGTATATGTAGGTGTCTTAGAGCTGGGACCATGTGAATATGTAGGTGTCTTAGAGCTGGAACCAGATGTGTATGTAGGTGTCTTACTAGATGGAAAACCATGAAACACAGACCAGACCATAATACACAGACCAGACTATGAAACACAAACCAGAATAAAGTCAGATGTTGTTGCAGGCTGCCTGAAGGACGTGCGCTTCAATGGTCTCCTTCTGCCCCTGGGCGGCCGCGGCTCCGAGGGCGTGGCTGTTCTGCAGGAGAGGGGCGTGTCCTTAGGCTGCACCAGTGACGCCTGTGCTTCAGCTCCATGTCCCAGATCTCTGCGCTGTGTGGACCAGTGGAGGAGACACCAGTGCAGGTAACACCATGTGGAGTCCCCAGAAAACACAATGTGGACCAGTGGAAGAGACACCAGTGCAGGTAACACCATGTGAATCAGTAGAGGAGACGCCAGTGCAGGTAACACCATGTGGAGTAAAGTGGACCAGTGGAGGAGACACCAGTGCAGGTAACACCATGTGGAGTCAAGTGGACCAGTAGAGGAGACACCAGTGCAGGTAACACCATGTGGAGCTGAGTGACTGGTGACGCCTGTGCAGAGTGAGTCCAGTGTCAGAGCAGACTTTTGTATCTGGTTCAAAGGAGCGTTTCCAATCACTGGGGAAGTGTGTAGTACATTACACACATGTGTTAAGGACTCGTGTGTGTGTGTACGTGTGAGTGTGTGTGTGTGTGTGTGTGTGTGTGTGTGTGTGTGTGTGTGTGTGTGCGTGTGTGCGTGCGTGTGTGCGTGTGTGTATGTGCGTGTGTGTGTGTGTGTTTGTAGGAGTGTGATGCAGTTTCCTCTCTCCCCCAGATGCCCCGGCTCCCAGATGTTGCTGTCAGACTCTGGTGGTGAGCGCTGTGTCCCGTCCCCGTGCAGAGCCTGGTCCTGTGGTCAGGGGGGGGTGTGTCAGCCTCTGTCTGCAGAGCACTTCCTGTGTGTGTGTGGGGGGGGGCTCCGGGGGCCTCGCTGTGAACTGGGGGCTCTGAGAGCGCGGAGAACCTCAGGTCTGAGTCCCAGCTCCATCCTGGCTATCAGCATGTGTCTGCTGCTGTTCCTGGGTAACTACACACACCTACACAGTACACACACCTACACAGTACACACAGCTACACATGTTACACACAGCTACACATGTTACACACAGCTACACATGTTACACACTTTTACACATGTAACACACATCTACACGTGTAACACAGGTGAAAGCCAGATCCTGTCAGACCTCTGAAGCTAAGTAGGGCAGGGCCTGGTTAGTACTATGATGGGAGACCTGTGGGAACACCAGGTGCCACAGTGGGGCGGCTGCGGCTGTAAAGTCGCAAACTGTCGTTGTGTCCTTAGGCAAGACACTTTAACCACATTAGAATGAGTCTGGTGTGTGTGAATGGTTGGTGGTGGTGGGAGGGGCAGATGGCACAGACTGGTTGCCTCGCTTCTGTCAGTGTGCCCCAGGGCAGCTGTTGCTACATTAGTAATTTATCACCACTGTGTTTGGAGTGAAAAAATAATGACATGTGAAGTGTCTTTGAGCGTCCAAAAAAGTGCTAAATAAAACGGCTCAAAAGGGTCCATGAGACACTGTCATGCCTGTAATCCTTGCCGGTGGTGTTGTTCAGGAAACATATTTATCCAGTGCATCGTAACGACACTTGCTTTCCTCTGGAAAACTGCTTCACAGAATGGTCCAAAATGGCTAGATGCTTTTAATGCTGAGGCGAGGATATTTTGGTCCAGCCTAGTTTAGCCACTGTGGACTTTTGAATACATATGTTAATTGAACTCCATGTGTCAGGCTAAAAGGGTTGTTTTCATGTGGGAGGAGCTGCTGGTGGCCATTTTCAAAACGTCCCTGGGGATCATACACAATTCGACGGGGGAAAAAGGCGTGACTATGTCCGCTAATATTTATCAATCAATCAATCAACGTTTATTTGTATAGCGCCTTTCCTACACAAGGCAACGCAAAGCGCTTCACATCCCCTATCACATCATGCATAAATCAAACACATTAAGAGCACAAGATATATTAAAAACATTAAAAATAAAATCACAAAAATTAAAAACCTTTAAACATTAAAATCACAGATGGGACTAATCATAAATAGTCACAGTGCATTAAAAAGATTAAAGATAAAAACAAAGATGAAAAGATAAAATCATTCAGTTGTATATGCGCAGCTAAACAGAAATGTTTTGAGCCTAGATTTAAAAGATGCCAGAGTAGACGCCTGTCTCACATTCTCAGGAAGACGGTTCCAGACTCTAGCCGCATGAATCTGAAATGCAGTGCTCCTCAGAGTCCGGGCCGGTTCATATGGCACAAACATGTCGTGGATGTACCTTGGCGCGAGACCATGGAGAGACTTGTACACAAGTAAAGCTGCTTTGAAGTCTATTCTCTGAGGAACAGGAAGCCAGTGCAGAGACCTGAGAACTGGACTAATGTGGTCGCACTTCCTAGTTCTGGTCAGGACTCGAGCTGCTGCATGTTGAATGTACTGCAGCTGTTTTACAGCCTGTTTGGAGAGACCTGTGAACAAGCCATTGCAATAGTCTAACCGACTGGAGACAAAAGCGTGTATAAGAGTCTCCAAGTCTGCCTTAGACACTATGTTTTTAATTTTAGCAATGTTTTTTAGGTGGTAATAAGCTGCTGATGTTACAGATTTTATGTGGCTTTTGAAATTTAAGTCTGAGTCCATTATCACTCCTAGATTTCTGACCTGATTTGAGGGTTGTAGAGAGAGAGCCTGGAGGTGACAAATAACGCTCTCTCTTTGTTTCTGGGGTCCGAAAACAATTATTTCAGTTTTGTCGGTGTTTAGTTGGAGAAAGTTATTTTGCATCCAATCACCGATTTGCTGGACACAGTGAAGGAGCGAGTCCACTGTTTGTGACATGACCATGGATCTATTGTATAATAATAACTAGATAGGGTATTACTTGCTTATAATAATAATAATAATAATACATTTTATTTAAAAGTGCCTTTCTAGACACCCAAGGACACTGTACAGGACATAATAAAAACATTAAAAACAGGATCAACAGAATAAAACAGTAGTCAAGTGCAATACGGAATGGTGGGTGTGTGTGTGTTAGATGGGGTAGGACAGTCTGAACAGATGGGTTTTGAGTCTGGATTTGAAGAGTGGAAGAGAGTCAATGGTACGGAGGTCAGGGGGGAGAGAGTTCCAGAGCTGGGGGGCAGAGTGGCTGAAGGCTTTGTGTCCCACGGTGATGCCCCCTGGTACTGCAGACTAAATTAATGTGGGCTACGCAGATCCCATAGATCTCAATGTAAATTAAAGTGATAGTCTGTAACTCTAAATGAATTACACATTTTAGGAAATGTGTTAAATTGACCTCCTGGCCTTAAATGTTGATATAAAATAAGTCATTTTATTAATTCTAATATTACGGGCAAGTCCCGCCTTCCCTGCTCTTGGCTATAGTTCAGAATCCACGGTGCCGTCGAGGTTAACCAATCGAGTCATGCCAAGGGATGTCAATCATCGGCGCTGATGCTCGCAGCTGCGCGCAGCTGCGCGCATGCGCAGTTGTTTGTTTTCGCGGAGCCTCTATTAGGCTCTGGAACTACATGAAAACTGAACAAAGAATTCTGAACATCCACGCTGAGGTACTTATGTTGCCTGGCCTGCCAGACACTCCTCCTTTCTGTTCAAAAGAAGAACCGTCTGGACACCTCTTCCTAGCCTATCATTTCACGATTTTACCCACATCGGTCCAATCACGCACCGAGAGGCGGGACTTCCTTTCACCTTTGAGTTGCTAATAACTCCTCGTATCTTTAAGTTTTTGTTACAAAATCGACAGCAGTCGTTTACATTTGCACTAGCTGACATGCCGCCATCCCTTGTTTTGTGTTTACTGAAACGGCTTGGGTGCCGCTAGTTGCTGCGTCATATCCTGTGTGCATCTAATTGGTTGATGCAGTCTGTCAACCACGCCCACCGGGAATTCGCTGAGATCAAGCTCGTTCCCAGACTATATGTCTTTGAAAAAGCATATCGTTTGGCAGGCCAGGCAAGTACTTATGTATATTCTGAACCTATATCCATAATCAGATCCTCTGCAGATGTGTCCTATAATGTGCAATTCATGATAATAGCACTTCCTGGTTTGCCGCGATCGCTTTTTTGTGTGCATAAAAACATATTTTTTTTCATTAAAACGTTCACAAATAATTCTGAAAACCTCCGTGCATGTGTATTAATAATGTATATGTATAATATGTTCTCTGATTAACATTTCAAAGTGTTACGGAAACGTAGGTGTAGACCAATCAGAAAGGAAGGGGGAGGGAGCTTGCGTCATTTTTTTCAAATCAAGTACCTCTCTGTCTCTCTTTCTGACAAACTCCAGACAATCACTTTAAAACAGCTCGACCTCAGCTGACAGAGAACCTACAGCTTTCAGAAAGATCGGATTTTGTGGGGATTTCAGTGTTCCTGGTCCACCTGAACTGTTTTTAAATTCTTTGGTTTTCTTTAAATCCACATTTTACTGCCACAAACTCTGCTCGTTTCCTTCCCGCTCTGGCTCCGCTCTACCACCGCTCTGATTGGTCAAAACTCGGCCGAGCACGTGCATGAAAAGCCACACACGCGTATTTGGCACAATGCATCATGGGAGCTCGTCCCCTGCGCAGAACTGGGAGGACCAGACGATGCCCAAATATGGACGAGTGCCGCTAATCTTTCGGTCTCTGTGAAGTCCCATGCGCTACTGAGCACAAGCCATTCATTTGAATAGGGCGCTATCTTGGATCACCGGGGCTTGGACCTGACAAGCCCAGGACAGAGCAGGACTTCCTGATGACCTGTTCTCTCTGGGGCCTCAGGGCAAAGTGGGAGCTCAGGTTGTGTAACAGTTCTATCGATGTTCCAGCTCTGATGCTCGTGATTACATAAACTTACATAAACATAAACTAGTTTCCAGGATGTTGTTTTAGAGCGATTGATGCCTATTGAGTCCTGTAGTCACCATTATAGTTGTGATATCATCATTAATCCCGATCATTGTAATGTTGTGCTAACTTCTGCCCCTGTACTGCTCCTCTCGGCCTCTAGGGGTGCTGGTGGCTGTGACCGTGTGGAACCAGAAGGGCAGCAGGAACAAGTTCAGGAGGAGAGGAGTGTATCACATGCCCACGCAGCAGGAGAGCTGGGAGGACGTCCGCGAGAACATCCTCAACTACAACGAGGAGGGCGGCGGCGAGCAAGACCAGGTCACTCTCCAGACTCACTCTCCAGTCTCACTGACTTTTGAATGTGTTGGAAAACACACACTCTCCAGTCTCACTCTCCAGTCTCAATGTCACGGAAAAAACACTATTATTGGATCTACACATAGTCAAAAGAAAGTATTTTGTCTAAAAAAGATGTGGATAAATCAGACAACAATCTTGTTTATAAGTCATTATCTGACTTTTCTGGTCCTCTCTGTGTTTGAAGTTAATCTAGAGACCATAAATACATACACATCCTTTGTGTGTCTGTGTCTTCTATATGTTTATGTATTTGTGTCTCTATGACTGTGTATCTCTTGGGCTAACGTGTGTGTGTGTGTGTGTGTGTGTGTGTAGAACGGGTACGACATGTCGGAGCTGAAGCGTCCCGTCTGCTCCAGTCTGTCTCAGTCCTCCTCCTGCACCACTGCTCCTCTGCTGCACTCCTCCCCTGGGTCACAGGAGGAGGTGCACCACAGCGCCCCCTACAGACCGCACCGACTCCACTCTGTGTGCGGAGACCTGTGCTCAGAGCCCGATCCTAGTCCGAGCCAGGTCTGGACCCGGGTGTACAGGTGAGCAAGCTGAGGGTGTGCTGTCAAAGGGTTTTTTGTTATTACCGATGTTTTAAAACATTCTTACATTGGGGGTGGGCTCGCCTCTCCATGTACCTTTACTCAGTTTTAAAACTTTTTCCGCTCTCTGAAATTGAATGAAATTTCCAAAACAGATTTGGAGGAAATAATATTGTTAATGTAAAGTTTTTCCTCAGGGATAGTTTGAGCACAGGAACAGTTTGAGCACAGGGATAGTTCGAGCACAGGGATAGTTTGAGCATAGGGATAGTTTGAGCACAGGAACAGTTTGAGCATAGGGATAGTTTGAGCACAGGGATAGTTTGAGCATAGGGATAGTTTAAGCAGAGATAGTTTGAGCACAGGGACAGTTTGAGCACAGGGATAGTTTAAGCACAGGGTTAGCTTGAGCATAGGGATAGTTTGAGCACAGGGACAGTTTGAGCACAGGGATAATGAGGCTGAAAGAGGAGGCAGATGTGCACAGATGAGACCCTGTTTCCATGGAGACAGCTGTAGTTTCCATTGTAGCTGCTGCTGTTATGCAGAATGATTTTGGTGCATTCTTTTCCCGCTTTGAGGAGGATGTTGTTGGGGGGGCGTGTGTAAAGTTCCACTGCCCCCTACTGGCAGAGTGCTAGAACTACTTGTGTTCAGTTGCCGTGCCAACGCTTTGCACTTCCAATCCGTAGCGGGGTCGTTTTTGCTAATTGCTGCGTCTCCGTGTAAACAGGGCTTGAGGTCCTGCTCTGATGTGTGTTCTAAGTGGTTATATATGTGTTAACAAATATTCTAAAACATAAAAAGAGCCTCATGGACCATGACATCAGGATAAGATAAGATAAACTTTATTGATCTCACAATGGAGACCTTTACAGGATGTGGGATTTAGGAGTTAGCTGCTGGACTGTAAACTGTTTGTTTTTACCCAGAGAATATCTAAAAAGTAGAACGAGTTCTTAGTGAATGTGGCAAATCTGGCTTGAAGCAGGACTAAATTGATGAATAACATTTTGCTTCTGCTCTCATGTTTGTTGTGACTGTTGTGAGTCCAGGCGACATGTGGACTTCCGCAGCTACGTGTCTCGGATCCTGTGGGAGGCCGACCACCAGGGGGCGGCCTTCCCGCCGGACTCTCTGCACGTGTGGAGCGTGGAGGGCAGCGGGTCCAGCGCCGGCAGCCTGAGCTCGCTGGGGTCGGGCCTGAGTGCGGGGGAGGAGCCAGGCCCTGGGAACCGACCGCTCTGACACTGACACCACTGAATCCTACCTCAACATCTACAGACAACACTACGCTCTGTCCTCAGATCAACACACTCAGCCTCTTCGGCTGTATGTGTTCAGTGAATAAATGAGGAATAACAACTAGATTTTACATCCTGACCTTTGAAAAGACCCCCCTCTCTCTCAAGACCCCCTCTCTCTCTGCTCAAGGCTGTGGAGAGCAGAGCATTTAAGGAACAGTATCCATGGGACAAAACATAAAGTGCCTGATCACCCTGTGTTTCTGTCAAATATAGGCCTGCTGCTGTCGGACTCCTGCTGTTAGTGCTCTGCCGGGTGAGGCTGAGGCTGAGGCTGAGGCTGAAGCTGAGACTGAGGTTGAGGCTGAGGCTGAGGCTGAGGCTGAGACTTGAGACTGAGGCTGAGGCTGAGACTTGAGACTGAGGCTGAGGCTGAGACTTGAGACTGAGGCTGAAGTTGAGACTGAGGCTGAGACTGAGACTGTGGCTGAGGCTGAGGCTGAGACTTGAGACTGAGGCTGAGGCTTTGGCTGAGGCTGAGACTGAAGTTGAGACTGAGGCTGAAGTTGAGGCTGAGACTGAGGCTGAGACTGAGGCTGAGACTGAGGCTGAGGCTGAGACTGAGGCTGAGGCTGAGACTTGAGACTGAGGCTGTGGCTGTGGCTGAGACTTGAGACTGAGGCTGAGACTTGAGACTGAGGCTGTGGCTGAGGCTGAGACTGAAGTTGAGACTGAGGCTGAGGCTGAAGTTGAGGCTGAGACTGAGGCTGAGGCTGAGACTGAGGCTGAGGCTGAAGTTGAGACTGTGGCTGAGACTGAGGCTGAGACTTGAGACTGAGACTGAGACTTGAGACTGAGGCTGAGGCTGAGACTGAGGCTGAGGCTGAGACTGAAGCTGAGGCTGAAGTTGAAGTTGAGGCTGAGACTTGAGGCTGAGGCTGTGGCTGAGGCTGAGACTGAAGTTGAGACTGAGGCTGAAGTTGAGGCTGAGACTGAGGCTGAGACTGAGGCTGAGGTTGAGACTGAAGCTGAGGCTGAGACTTGAGACTGAGGCTGAGACTTGAGACTGAGGCTGAGACTTGAGACTGAGGCTGAGACTTGAGACTGAGGCTGAGACTGAAGTTGAGACTGAGGCTGAAGTTGAGGCTGAGACTGAGGCTGAGGCTGAGACTGAGGCTGAAGTTGAGACTGTGGCTGAGACTGAGACTGAGACTTGAGACTGAGGCTGAGGCTGAGACTGAAGCTGAGACTTGAGGCTGAGACTTGAGACTGAGGCTGAGACTGAAGTTGAGGCTGAGACTGAAGTTGAGACTGAGGCTGAGACTGAGGCTGAGACTGAAGCTGAGGCTGAAGTTGAGACTGAGGCTGAGACTGAGGCTGAGACTGAAGCTGAGGCTGAAGTTGAGACTGAGGCTGAGACTGAGGCTGAGACTGAAGCTGAGGCTGAGGCTGAAGTTGAGGCTGAGACTGTGGCTGAGGCTGAGACTTGAGACTGAGGCTGAGACTGAGGCTGAAGTTGAGGCTGAGACTGAGGCTGAGGCTGAGACTGAAGCTGAGGCTGAGACTGAGGCTGAAGTTGAGGCTGAGACTGAGGCTGAAGTTGAGGCTGAGACTGAGGCTGAAGCTGAGACTGAGGCTGAAGCTGAGACTGAGGCTGAAGCTGAGACTGAGGCTGAAGTTGAGGCTGAGACTGAGGCTGAGACTGAGGCTGAGGCTGAGACTGAGGCTGAAGCTGAGACTGAAGCTGAAGCTGAGACTGAGGCTGAAGTTGAGGCTGAGACTGAGGCTGAGACTGAGGCTGAGGCTGAGACTGAAGCTGAGGCTGAGACTGAGGCTGAAGCTGAGGCTGAGACTGAAGCTGAGGCTGAAGTTGAGGCTGAGACTGAGGCTGAGGCTGAGACTGAGGCTGAGACTGAGGCTGAGACTGAGACTGAGACTGTGCAGTAATTATCCTGTCAGTCTGTATCTCGCTGGGAAACTACAGAGACCTTTGGAGCCTTTATACTTCTGTCCTGTGTCTGGTGCACAATGCTAATGCTATCGCTAATGCTAATGCCTCCCGCTGATCAAGGCGCAGTCCTCATGTCTCTAAATGCAAAGTGTATAATAATAATAATATCTAGAGTATAATTTATGACTCAATTTATGGTTAGCTTAGGTATTTATTAATTACTTATTCTACATGACCTTAGACAACATCTAGGGTTAGAGTTAGGCCTAATAAATCCATGGTTAGGGCGCACTAATTAGCACTGCTGTTACTTAGTAAGGGCTAATTTAGTGTTACCACAAACATTGTAAAACTTAAAAAGGGCCTGATGGACCATGACTGCTGTTTTCTGTGGTTTTTGCCCTTACTTTTACTTTACAAACCAAGACTAAAATGATCTGTAATGTTTCTGCAGCAGGTTCAGAGTGTTTACGGGTGCATTGTGTATAAAGTAGTAATATAAGGACAAACATGGACTTGTTTACAAAGCATTAGAACAATCACATTTATACTGAGCAGTGAGTCCGACCCCTGCAGCCGTCTGTGCGACTGTAAATAAGATTATTTTTATACTCGTTGGTCCCAGTCTTGTTCCTGTCTCTGTGGCCGGCGCCTCCAGCACCTCTTCATGAACGTTTCTTTATTCTGACTGAAAGAAAGAACGATTATAGATAGTATGATTTTCAGATTGATGTTTCGATATAATTTCAACGTACTGCTCCCTCCATGCCCGTAACTGAGGCCGAAACTGCATTTAACGAAGAGAGTGAGAATACACTATGTACGCTAATGCTAATGCTCTGGTTTGCATCAGGATTCTTTTAGAGGTCATTACAGAATGTCTTCAAGGAGAATGACGCAGAAGGTTTCACACCAATAAGATTTGTTTTATAGAATTATTAATTTGAAAGGATTTGGTGGATGGTTTTTTCCTTCCTTCAACCGGAAGGAAAAAAAAAAGTTATTTCAAAAACTTGGTCCCCAGGATGAGAACCACTGCAGCGTTGGACTGATGTGGTGATGAGGGAGCAGCGTCTGTAGTCAGAGCTCTGGAGTCAGGAGACCAGGGACAGACCCAGGACTCAGAGGGACTGTCTCTCAGCTGGGAACACCTCAGGATTCCCCCAGATGAGCTGGAGGAGGTGTGTGGAGGATGGATTAAATTGTCATGTGTCTTAATGTAAATTGTGCCAAACTTTAGGATGAGTCTCTTCTATGATGTCATCAGCTGTGCTCACGGTTCATTAGTTTTACTGTTAGATTTACAAACAGTGGCTTTAACGGTGTAAAAGATTATTTCACATTTGAGTTTGGAGTCATTCCAGAACACATGTTTGCACCGGGAACAGGAGTCTGGTACCTGTACCTGTACCTGTACCTGTGAGGGCTGATGCTTGTGGACAATCACAGAAGAAGAAACTGTTCAGGTCCAAATGGAAACATGTGACGACAGTAAAGACCTTTGTTTGTGAAGTCTGTTTCATTTACCAACGGGATCCTTTTGTACCAGACTTTTAATAAAATGCATTTCTCCCGTTTCTGTGTTTATAGCCTTTTTAACGTGACAAATACAGGAGAAACACCACAATCACATTTTATTCAGACTGTAGCAGATTCATGAAGGACGACAGTGATGCTAACTACTAAAATGTGCAATTATTCTATCACCAGATGGACTCACATTGAATCAGCAGGATAGAAATCACATTATGTCTGTTAGGAGCATTTCCATATGAATGACTGAACTGTAGTTTTGGCCTCTGATGACTAGTGTTGGAGAGTTATGGGATACATGTAACACCATTATTCAGAGTTTTGAAATATTCCCTTATAGTTACTTTAAAATATTTAGAATAGTACCTTTCTGAAAATCAGGGGAAGACATGTTTTATTTATTTAAACATTTATTGAAGTTGTGGTTTTAATTATTTTGAAATTTACCTTTATAAGCTTTGTAAATAAACATGAATTCACAATAAATATAAATAATACAAAAATAATAGCTTCATCATATTGGAGGATTTTCTACTTCCGGGTGGATCATCAAAACTATAGGTCCTCCCAACTGTCAATCATTCTGACCAGAGAGTTTTGTTCAAAAAGTGGGCGGTTCTTTCCTAACATATAGGAAACTCCTCCTTTATACCTTTAACCCTGAGTGTTTAGGGATCGTGTGATGTGTTCACGAGGCATGAGTTCATTACTTTCTTACACACAGTTCACAAACTACACAAATAATACACAACATATTCATTAACACACTTAAACATACACCCCAGGTCTAAGCACCAACTCAACTTTTTTTTTACTCATAAACTGCATAAATATGTTTCTAATAGTGCTTTCTACATGTCCTGGTCATTTTTGACATTTTAGTACAAATTAGATAAAATGTCACTTTTGAGCCTAAAACTGACTATATTTTAGGTGGCACTACATTTGAATTTGGTGCCTGGCCTCTCCATTGGCTCTGGAGTGTAGTGTGACATCACTTTGTGCTGTGTGATGTCCGTCTCTCTGAGCCTGTGGTATAAAACCATCCAAGTCTCACACAGGCCTCAGCAGCGAGTTGGAGTATTCTGGCGACATCTAGTGGTATAAAATCTAATTAATTACACACTACTGCTAGAGAGATGTTTCTGTGGCTTAGGTTCAGGCGTGTAGCTCTACAATTATCTTAGTGTGTGTAAACAAGGATGGAATGAGAATTTCTGGTTTGTAAACTATTGCTTTGAGCAGCAAAAACAACAGATTTTTTTCTGTGTGACCACGCCCAGCCCTCCTTCTTGCCCCTGGTCCTTCAGTCAACGCCCTTTTTGAAAGAATTTTCAAATGTTCGTGTGGGCGGAGTAAGGCTGGGCACTGGCGTTTATTCGTCCTTTAAGACTGTGATCCTGTCGAGTCTGACTCTGGGGTCACACGATGCAGCCTCAGCTCTGTCTCATTCAGACCTGTTTTAATTTCTCCAGTATGAATCCTCTTATGATATTTGAGAGAAGCCCGGTGAGTAAATC